TACTAAATGAGATTTTATAAATTATCATTGATAAATCCAAACAACGTCTCAATAGCCAGGAGGTACAATATGTAAAAACTAGAGAACAAAAGAAATCTATTTATTTGACATGAATGTTGACCGACTGCGATAATATTTATCGTCGCTATATATTTAACATTAAATTAGGCTAAGGGATGATTAGTGATAAGCGACACAATTCCTTCCGGGAGTTATAAAAACAGATTAGTGAGATATGCATGTGAAAATTCGTACAAAAGAATGAATTTTTGGTGTCCCGACAATTACAATCTAAAATGTATTACGTGCTCCGTATAAAATTTATCGAATGCGTCTGATAAAATGGATGGCTATCATCAAGTCTTCAAAAAATATTTTATAACGACGGGAGCATGATTGTACTACATAACCGATGCGGGGACAATATAATAACGTCGATCGCTACGATGTCACAATTGATGAGATTATGAAATTCAAGTATATTTCACTAATTGCCCCACCGTAGCCACCTTATATAGCAGGGACACCTGTAAATATGTGATCTGTTGTACATCGCCTGTCAACGTGTAAATACACTCCTGTTACGCTGGCCGAATTTCGCTCTTCGCTTGTTCGCAAGGTACGTTATCAAGCCAATTATTATACTTCGAACGATTTTAGAAGATAATCGAACAGAACGAAAAGGAGGTCGAATTTGTAATCGCGCGATTTTCCGACCGGTACTAACTGCTAGTTAAAATTATTATTTTCTAACTCGGCACTGATAAATACTTGCAAGTTATACGTATAATAGTTAACGAGATAAAAGTCGGAAATTTATCGTAGTGAGCGAACGGTTCCTTGCTTGTATTTATCCGTTTGAATATATACGCGGAACACCGCAAGCGATTATGTACCGTTAAAAGTAAGTTAGTAAATATCGCGTGCTCAGCGGTCCGAGGTATTAAAAGGTCTCATTAAACAGCAATTATAAACTAGGAATCGGCGGTGGATGTTAGATAGTGAACGTGGCCAGCGAATCTAAAATGACTAGAATCTTCGTAATGTTTCTTCTCGTCCTGGGGGTCTGCCAGGCGAGTTTCATGCTCGAAAATACCGACAAAAATCAAGTAGATTTGAGATACCGGCTGCCGTCCGGAGTAGTGATACCGATCGATTACACATTGCACCTCACGCCTGATATGGTGAAATTCACATTTGAGGGTGAAGTGGACATCACGTTAATAGCGCTGACCACGAACAATATCTTGACGCTGAATTCAAAGTACTTGTCAATCTACAACGTTAAGTTCGTGGATTTGAATACAACGAAGACTCTGGAGAATGAGTACCTAATGGACGAAGAACACGAGATCCTGAACATTACGATAAAACCCCAGTTTGAAAAGGATCATCACTACTCGCTTCAGATAAAATACAATGGAATCTTGAACGACAAGTCGAAAGGATTTTATAGGAGCCAAGTCATACAAAGGGGCCAAGTAGTGTAAGGAAGCTTTATTATTACTATTATTATTATCATTATTATTGTTACTAATATTATTAACGAGCATAAATTCTTTAGAATTTACAAAGGAAAACAAGAGACGTGTGACAAAGAATTCAACTTTTTTACATTTTAGCGGGTATATCGCAACGACTTATTTCGAGCCGACGTACGCTCGACTAGCGTTCCCATGTTGGGACGAGCCCGCCTACAAGGCGAAGTTCGACATCAGTTTGACGCACGATAAGACACTTCAAGCGATCTCTAATACGGACGTACTGAAAAAAGAAGAAAAAGATGACATGATAACTACTTCGTTCAAAGAAACCCGACTGATGTCTACTTATTTGGTAGCATTCGTTGTAAGCAATTATGAATTTAAGGTAGATAAAGACGGCAACTTCACCTATAGGGTATGGACGAGGAAAACAATGATAAAGCATGTTGACTACGCTTTGGAAATGGGTAGGGAGCTTCTAGAAGAGCTGAATTTGTACATGAATATTTCGTACCAGACATATATGCCAGACAAATTAGATCAAATTGCGGAGAAGGATTTCCCGGTCGGCGCTATGGAGAATTGGGGTTTCGTGATTTTCAGGTATTTACAAGCGACGAACATCGCGATCAAAATGTAACAGGTTTTATTGCTTATCGATCTGAAAGGAAAAATAAGGAAATAGTTAGTACTGAATTAAAAAAATACTCGCGATTCTCCGCTCCTTGTAATGAATCATTTGATCAAATTGTACAATTGAATTGCGAAATGCTAATTTATTATCATTGATAGACTACGGATTTTATGCATACATACAAAAATTAAATGTACCGGAAATATAATGAATGCATGCGACATGCAAAAGTCTGAAGAAGAGAATCTGTAGAATGTGTAATACAGATCGTTATTTGTAAATGGTAAAAGAATTTTCAATCCAGATTTTACTTTTTAAATTTACAAGACAAAACAAATGTCGTATTTTGTATAAATGTCCGCAGTATTAAGAATGGTTGATCTTTTAATTTTCTGCTAGAACGTGTTGCACATTATCCACGTTCAAGTTTTTAAATATTTAATAATTACTTATAATATAATATTCCAAATATTATGCTTATTTCATACTAAATCATTAAATAGATTTCACTTTGGACAAGCAAATATATAAATATAGAAACGGCTAGTACATTTACCTGCACTATTATAATAGGAAATATAGTTAGTCAGTTTAGTCTTTCTTGACTTCTTTCACTTAAGATAGAAATTAAGATAGAACTGCACTCTTATCCCATGCCCTCCCTCGGCGCTTTCCTTTTTTTCATATGTTTCAACACTTTGATCAATTCCTTCAGTTCCCCTTCTGTCTCGTCATCCTTGTTCTCTTCTGCCATTTCTTGTGTTGGCCTAATCCCTTGAACAAGTTCCTCCTCTCCCGAAGCAGTTTTTCAAAATGCGCTCGCTACTTCGTTTTCTTAATGCCCATCCCTCTTATAAAATAAAACTATGGTAATCCTGTCCCAAATAATACTATTTTCTTTCTATTAATGATCACAAGCATATGACGCACCTCTTCCATCGTTTTCTTATAATAGGAAATATATTATTCAAATAATGTTTCACTGTAATACTGTTTTAGATAAAAAGTGTAGATGTTACAGTGGTCACTTTTCGCTGAATCTAGTCGTTAACAATGAGCCTGGACACCTTTGAACTTTAATTTCCATTTCAGAGAAGGTACTCTCCTTTACGACCAGGCTTCATCCACAACCCGCACGAAGATGAGAATACTCGTGATCATCGCTCACGAACTCACTCATCAATGGTTCGGTGATCTGGTCACCCCGAAATGGTGGAAATATATTTGGCTGAACGAGGGATTTGCCAACTATTTCCAATATTTCATTACTCACAAAGTAAATGCAATACTCTAATCCTTCTTAAAACAAACCTTTACCACTATGTTTCTTGATATGGAATTTATAAATTTTGGGGCAGTGCCATTTGTTTATTCAGCTATTACTATCATGGTTAAAATACATAAGGCGTGTAATTACGCGACTGATTGATACTGCCAGTCACATACCCTTCCTTGTAACAGCCATATGGCCTTATCTATTAATTGTATTTTGCGTTAAAAGGAAGGAAGTGAAGAAGTATTGAAAATGAAAATTAATTTTTCACTTAAAAAGTCTAAATTACACTTTGTAAGTTTGTTTAATAGTTGGATTACACTTTTACGAATTGCTGGCTTTTAAATTGACGTTTCCTCGGTTACAACCATCGCACTAGTTTTTTTACAACACTTGGTCCTTTGGAAATTGATGATAGGAAATATTCAATTTTCAGTAATATCACTCCAGTTTTTACAACTTTTAACAAAGCAGCCTGACATTTATGTCGTCTTAATCAGTTTTTATTTCTGAACACAATAAGTATTCATTTCTCGATATGGTCGTCGTATGGAATGCGCAGTAAGTGACGAAAATGGTGCCATCGAAAGACTATCTTTCGAATTTCTATCATGATTGCTATCACTGTCAGGCACTAATTCTGTTGAGCTGAACATCTTTAAAGGCCAATTCAGTTAACGTCGCAATTTTTACTCACTGACGTATCTTTCTATAACTTTACAGGTCAATTCATCATAATAGAAAATTAAACCAATGAGTAGAAATTGGGACCCCGACATAAATGGGGTCATTTACCTTAGTTTAAATTTATACTTAATAATAATAATGAATTACATTGATTGAAGATTACTCAGTAGATCTCAATTTCTGTTCACGTTACAATTTCACTACCTTAAATTTATACAGGGTGAGTCACCTAACGTTTGAACCTCAAATATCATTGCTGTTTTTGAAGATACATAAAATGTTTTAAGAATAAAATTGAATGGTTTAGTGGGGCTCACACGATACCAAAAATATTTTTGTGTTTATGTCATTTTTTTAGAGATATGAAGGTCACCTTCATTTGTTTAAATGGAACCAACATTTTTTAAATACCTAAGATAATAGTCCCTTTCATTAGAAATCCAGTAACTATAATGATTCAAGGTCACGGTTGTATAAGTGAGACTTATAGTAAACAAGTATTGCGTGTAATCTGGTAGTGTATGTTTTCTACAAGTCTCACTTGCGATAAACGTATTCTACTTTCATACCGACCGTGACGTTGAATAATTGTAGTCACTGAATTTCTAATGAAAGAGACTATCATCGTAGGTATCTAAAGAATAGTGGTTCCATTTAAATAAATGAATATATCTCTAAAAAAAAATGACAAACACACAAATATTTTTGTTATCATATGAGCCCTACTGAATCATTCAACTTTATTTTTAAAACATTTGACATATCTTTAAAAACAACAAAGATATTTGGGGTGCAAACGTTAGGTAACTCATCCTGTATATAAAATTATAGAAAAGAAACCAGTGAGTAAGAACTGTGACGTGAACAGAAATTTCGTCATTTACTATAGTATCGTCTAAATTATCGTTATAAATATCAAATATTCTTCAGTTATTATTATCTACCAAGTCTAGATATAATTTTCAGTACGATAACTAATGATGAAATTATGAAATTTAGATAAAACCTGAATTGCGATTGGACGATATGTTCCTTGTGGACAGCATGCAAGAGACGGCGATGGTCGTTGATGGGTCCCCGGAGGTACGTCCCATGAATAAGGACGTAATCACCCCTAAACAAATCGATGATCTCTTCGATGGCATCGCCTACCAGAAAGGTAAAGAAAACGAATAAAAGACGTCGTTTTAAACTCGATTAGATACATGAAAAAATAAATAGATAGTCGGTTTTAGTTTAACATCAGATAAACAGAAATATGAGCACAAACACCAATGTTAAATTTAATTAAATTTCTAACGGAATTTCTTTTCTTCATTAGCGATATACGTTACCTAATCTTATCGAAAAGTTAAGACGTTTTGAGTACCGTAAAATTGAAGATAAGCGGGCTTGACAAGCGAAAATTAATAATCTGAAAAATCGATAGCGTCACTTTCTAATAACTTATCAGTTATTAAATATTAAAAGTCTATGAATTAACAATTATCATAACTCATATATACGAGTACTTTGTATACAGGTTTTCGCAGAACTAGTGTTAGGCCTTCAAATGGGTAGAAGCTGTGGTGATTTTAAACAACTTTTTCTTTTGCAAAGAAGTTGTTCGAAACATGGTTGTCGAGTTATTAACGAAAAACCGGGACCAATCAGAGCGCTCGTATAGCGGGCGGCCAGGAGCGCGACAACTGCATTCGAGACTGTTGCTCCCGTACGCCACGCTCGTGACGAGAACGCACGATTAATACAAAAGTTACATTCAATATATTTTGTATCAACCATAGATCTACAATCCACACTGTATACTTTATTTATCAGTGCTTTTTAGAAGTCTTGCAATATTGCATTCACAATTTATCTTTTGATAAGGAGATAAGAAATAATTCATAGTGGGTATTAAATAGGTCCTAATAGCTTATCAATGAAAAATCTAAGTATATGGTCCACAGTCATGAAAAATTGAGATGATCTTGACATCCTGACGTCGGAATCGCTGACTAGTTTCATAATTACATTTCTGTTTTCATGGAGAGGTACTAAATAATTAATAGCACGTACCAACTATGTTTAAATATCTGAGAAACATCGATCCAAGTATCTAGTTCGGTCCAATCATTCTGATAAACAATAACAATCTCATAAACAGAACGCGGATCTTTATGCAAAATAAACCTTTCTTGAAATCAGTGTAGGAAATGAAATCTAAATACGAATCTACTTTATATTTAAAAATCATAATATACATTTCGATATTTCATAAGTTGTTGAACATTGAAATAATTTTTTATATTTTATGTATATACCATTTATTTATAAATGCATAAAAAACGCAGAATACTTATTAATAGAGGGGATATCTAAGGCTTACCATCGGAATCCGAGTATGCTTAATTTAGATTCGATGAGACTGAAATTATAATTGTGGTAACTCAGAGGATTATAGGAATTCATGCTAAATTTTTTCAATTGTGAATATGTGAGTTTTATAATATGGGAACCGAACAATGGAGCAATATTCCGAAGTTGGTTTAACAAGGGAACAATACAGAATTTTTGAAATGTTGCAATTATGAAAATATCTAGAAACCGTAACTAAGACCCACAGATTTATATGCAAAAGAAATAATAAAATTATGGTGATCATTGAAAATAAGACTTGGTTGGAAAATAAATCCGAAGTCTCATATAGGTGTACAGTGTTTCTAAAGGATTGCCTAGAAGGTGTTTATGAGGTTGTATTTGGTAAGTTTACATAAAATCATCGATAAGCCATTGAAATGCTAACAATGATTAATTTTACGTTACGTTAATAAAACACTGTGCACAATTTTAGAAATCTTGCAAAGCTATTAAAAAAGTTACTAAATTTTGAATTCTTATGTTGAACAGCAAAATTCTGATTTGATTTGTGAAAAAATGTAGTTGCAATAATGACAAAATTTGAAAATTTGTATTATTGTTAATCCATTTGAATCATTTGGAAAAGCGGAAATTCAGCCCGTATCAATCAAAAGCGCGCAAATTTGCGCTTCGTATGATATAGGCCAGAAAAATACCACGTACATATGAGCTCATGATGTAATTGGATTAATACACGTCCTGAGAATATTTTAAAATTGACATATTATTATCAACTTCAAAAATATGACTTAAAGCATGTAATAAAAAGTAAACAAAATTAAAATTTTTAGACTGTTACAAGTCAAGTACAATCAAACCAAAAAGAGTCACGACTGTGTATCAGAATATTAGGAAATTGCTTATAACTATTATTATAATTATTACTATATTGGAAATTGCCTGTGACTTAAAGAAAGATGTTGAACAATTTAATAAACACCTTCACTATAAACTTAATACTTTCTATAAGATCATCAGTTCACGTATTGGGCAGAGCTTTTTCTTACATTTCTTAAACTTTTAGCAGAGATTTTGCGGCTCATACAATCTTAATCGATCTACTGAAACAAACGTGTTTGCGAGTTTTCATTTAGCTACACATATTCAGGGACACTCTAATCC